CTTGGGGCCTAAAGGCAGATACAGGTCCATCTGTTACTCAACTACCCCTTGCGGTCACCTTACATCCATCTCACATCTATGTAAGAAGTGCCCTTTTAAGCCCTCCTTGAACTATTCCAATTTGGGTTGTTATGCAGCAATAGAAAACTAATGAAGGTTGTATTAGTTTTGGGTGAAGGTTTATCCAGCACAGGTTAGGGATGAGAAACACCACAGTTCATTAAGATGTGTGGCTCTGCCCGGCTGACGTGGCTCAGTGGTTGACCTCTGAACCAGAAGGTCACAGTTTGATTCTTGGTCAGGGCACATTCCCAGGTAGCCAGCTCAATCCACAGCTTGGAGGAGAAGGCATGCAGGAGGCAGCTGATCAATGATTCTCTCTCATCATTGATGTCCCTGGAAGATTGTATCCAAAATGAAGCTGAGATCCTAATGAGAATGAGGAGCTTCAGGCCCATCGAGTTCTTATGCTGTGTGTCTATAATCATAATGTGGAATTTAGTTTCTTTGGCCCCAAAACAGTGGCTTGGTCAGAGTACATGAGAATTCTAGGTTTTGAGATACTGAAGGTAAAGGACGAAGTTCGATGGGAACAACAAACATGACCCTTTGGGTGCCTCTTACATCAAAATTAAGGAATTCAATTTACTGAGCTTTCAGTGAGCCTCCAGGAGGCTTGGTAGACAACGTATATTAATTACCTGATTTAAAACCTGGTAAACCCTTAACTCCTAATGGCTTAACACAACAGAAGGGCATTTCTGCCATCCTCGTAAAGCCAAATGCCAGCATGAACACACGTGCTGTCTCTGACCTTGTGCCGATTTTCACGGTTCTGCTGGAGCCCCCAGCCTCTGGCTTTCTCTCTTCCTCTGACGTATTTCTGTCTTGCAGCAAGGTGAGTTGCAATCCTTTTCTGATGCTGCTGCTGCTGCTGATGATGATGATGACGACGACAAAGGCCTTCTTAAACAGAAAGGAGGTAAATTAAAAGGTGCGACAGCACCACACTAACATCCCCCAGCCCTTGAAAAGTTTTTACTGTGGCTCCCCTGGATGCCATTTCTGACCAAACTTCTACGTCCTCCTTTACCTGTTCTTTTCGCTAAAACTGAAATTCACTGAACATGACATTCTCTCCTAAATCGGCACGATCCGATATAGCAGTCCTAACCATACACAGCTATGGAGCACTTGTAATTTGGCTTGTCTGAATTGAGATGTGCTACAAGTATAAAATATATGCTGGAGTTTAAAGGCCTAGTATGAAATAAGGAGCATAAAATACTTCATTTATAATTCTTATAATACCATGTTGAAATAACATTTTAGACATGTTGGGTTAAATATCTCATTAAAATTAATTCTACCTTTATATGCTTTTTTAATGTTGCTGTTAGAAATTTTTGAATTACATATGGGACACTTGATTTCTATAGGAGAGGTAATCTAGTTTTCTCATGTTTCTGGTGTGTGTGTGTGTGTGTGTGTGTGTGTGTGTATGAACTGTGTACCTTCAATTAAATTGTAAGCCCTTTGAGGATAAGAACTATGATATATTAACAATTATTGCTTGTCTCGTTTTTTATTCTTATAAGTATATTTCCAGTAGGACATGATCACACTCATCTAGGGGAAATGGTGAATAATATAGACTGATGAACAAGAACAAACCCAGAGATAAGGAGCCATGGGTCAGACTGTTGGACCTCAAAGGGAGGGTGGGGATAAAAGGGAGAGATCAACCAAAGGACTTATGTGCATATATATGAGACTAATCAGTGTTCTAGGACAATAGGGGGGTGAGGACATGAATGGGGGGGGATTGGAATGGGGGTAAAGGACAAATATGTGATACCTTAATTAATAAAGAAATTTAAAAAAAAAGAACTGTGACATATTTTTATATGCCCTACTGCCCTCAGAATTCACAGATTTTAGTAAATTCACGTTTACTAAATTCCGGAGGCTCATTCTAGCATATCAAGCCAGACAAGTGGCAGTGGCTGTGCCTGGTGACCCTTGAGAATGGGGTGGGGGAGGCAGGTCTGAGGGGAGCCTTACCATGGAGCAACCAGGCCATGAAGGACCTCCATGGGCTCCATGGTCAAGGTGAGTTTTCCTTCGGAAACAGCTTCCCAGGCACTCAATGCCCACAGACTCAGTACTGCCTGCCAGCTCTGCTAATCATTCACTCCCTTTGGCTTTCTTCTCTGCTACCTGTGGGCAGTGTCTGGTTTGGGGTGGGAGATTCTTATCTTCAAAGCCGAGAGATCAGAGTGTTCATGTTTCAAAGGACATGCAGCGTTGGTGTGTGGCCAAGGTGGGGGCCTGAGCATCCAGAATGGGTTACTTGTCCTCATCCATGCCACTTGCAACTGCTGGGTCATCCCTACTAGGTCATTGCTGCTGTTCTCTCTCTTCCTCTGGCCCCTGGCAACAAGCTCATAGCTGCCAGGAACAAAGGGGGGATGAGTGTGGAAGCTGGAGTAAGCTCTGCTGCCCCCGCCTCACTTGGACCCACAGCCTCAAAATACTGGAGGCAATTCAGAGTGACCAGATGCAACCCCTCTTGGACGTACAGGCCACATGATCTCTAGCCCAGCACGGCTGATCCCTGAAGGAGCAATGGGCCCTATGCTTCTCCCAGAGCAAATCTAAGAACCAAAGAGAATCCCTGGGGTTCCCTCCTTCCTGACTCATAAAACCTGTTACTTTGGCTCAATCACTGAGCTTTACAGGGTCCTCCAAGTATTTTGAAAAGTCACCAAATCAGAAAAACAGCCAGAAAATAAATAAGTTCATGTCTGTAAGTTTATTTTCACTTTAATAGTTCAACACTCAATTTTTTTTTCAGATAAAGGGTATGAAATTCAGTAAGTCAAGGAAGAACTGGATGTAGAACCCAGATTTCTCACTTCCAGTCAATGCATTTTCCCACTTTCTCAGGCTGCTTTCATAAACTATGTTTCTATACCTCAGTGGTGACAATGGTCACCTTCAGTCCGTGGGGTTACAGATGACTTTTTAATGTTCTTCTTTTTGCTCAGATGTTTTATCTGTTTTTCCCCCCACAATGACTATACAATGAATAAAAACACTTAAAATTTGAAATAAAGCAAATTCCTCCAGAAAGCAGAATTAAGCTTTGTTTTTCCTACTTGCCTTCACACTCGAATACCCAGCGCCACCAATTATTTGAATAGTAAGAATCAATCTAAATTATTGCCATCCTCGAGGGCAGAAATTTAATTTTTCTGGAATTAAGTGGACTTGAAGAAGAGTAGGTATTTGCTGTGTGACTTGGGTGTAAATTCTCCTCTTCTCCACCAGGGGCGCTGTCAGCACGCAGGGGACCAACTCTCTGCTCACAGCATTGCTTGTACTGCGAGGGCAGATGATTTTGCAGGAGACTATTGAGTGATAAACTTCCTCCCCCCTCAGTACTCCCAGAGAATTTCTACTTCCTGTACTTCCTGTAATACACCCAGAACCATATGTGGGCCTCACATTCCCTCTACTTTATTTTCCACCATCCTCTGCCTTATACTCATCTGGCAGTTACCCAATACCAAGGACACTGTCTTCCAAGGTACATCAGACACTAATTATGGATAAATGAAGCTGATGGACTAATTCATATTAAAATAAAAGGGCCAACACCAGCTCATTGGAGTCATTCTTCTCAATAGTATCTGTATTTTAAGAATTAGACCTTAAATCCCTTATACCAGTAGGGATGCATCATGGGAACAGAATGATATGACATATTGATGTCTTATAGTTATTACACTTTATCCATTTGTGGTGAAGAAGTCTTTGGAACTGTTGCCTCTCTGCTGTAGCTGAGCCTGAGGTCATTTCAGTTAGTGTGGCAGCAGCCAGGAAGACGCATAGGACGTGAAGCTAGGGAAGAGCAGGGACAAATCAAACCCAATGAGGGCAAAATGGAGCCTATGTCTGCCTTTCACCACCTCATACTTGAATGACAGGTGACCTTGAGAAGAAACTGGTGCCTTTCACACTAAGAGAAGCTCAGGGAGCGATAGACCTGGCTGTTGGCCATGCCAAGGAGGTGAGCCAGCAGATCAGTAACCAAATGCATGAGCTACAGTGATACCTGGTACCTTCACCTTCAAAGTGTGCTTAGGTGCTGCCTGATCCCACCTTCAGATCCTCAGGTCAATTTCTCTTATAGCCAGCTCAACCTGGAACCATGTAGGAAAGGGAATTCTGGGAAACATGACTCAAGCTTAGGTTTATACACTACAAAACCACCACTCTCTCTAAAGTCATATCAAAGGTAGCTTTTTAGATCCAGTAGAGCTGTTGACGTGGGGGTAGGGATGGGACAAAGATGTGAAGAGGTAAGGGGAGGAGGTGAAGGGAACTTTCTTGGTCATTTTCAAGAATGTGTCTATAAAAGGATCGAAAAGCCAGGTAGACGGTAAGTATGTATTAAATGGTTATATAACCAAATGTTTATAAATATATGTATCAAGAAAGGAAACCTTACAATTGGACCCAAGTTATGTCTGAGAGGTACTGAATGATATATTCGAAGGTTTGTGAGTACCCCGGTTACCTGTGGATAGCATGGCAACCCCTACCCCATCCCATGGTCCTCTCTCCTTCTGCTCTAAGTGCTGGGAAGCACAAGGGGAAGGAATCCAGGCGAGAAAGGGACAAGTGTGACCCGAAGGACCCCAAAGGCCATAGAGGGGAACCCCTAAACACACATTCATCCACTTCCTTCTTTGGCAGAAGCCAGTTCTCAATGTACCAGAATGGAATGGAACAATGGTGCTTTTATACCACCAAAGCTGTAGGTTTGAGTCCAGAAAAACTTCCTCTCTGTAGGGCGGCAGTGGGTGGAGTGAGATGATAAAAGTTGGTGGAAGGCAATTCTTTCCAAAGTCTAGACCTTGGAGTGGCCCCAGAAGGTGTGGACGTGCCCAAGTTTCGTTCGCCTCTCTTTCGTTAGGACGATCTGTAGTTCAATGGGAACCTTTATCGGCCATGTGTACCCGGGGCTGTTTCTATTTTTGTACGGACTGTATCAGGCAATTGTGGTCTCCAAAGCTGCGATAGTCAACGACTCTCTCCTGAATCCTTCATGTCCTCCAAGAAATAAGGGAAGGTGGGCCAGGCTGTGGGAAATATCCTACCAAGGCTTGTTGAAAATAGTGGCCGGCTCCATCCTGATAGCTTATGAGAATGGCTGCGTGAAAGGAGGGCTGGTGCTGATGAACAGGGAGCTGCCACCGAGGTTTCTGTTCCCCAAAGAGTGGCAGCACCTCACCATGTTCGTCCTCCTCGCCCTCAATGGCTGTGTAGACGTCACGAGCAAGAACCTGCTGCCTCAGAGGTGTGTGCTCCTAGAAAAAGGCGGCCTGGTCCTGGTCTTCTACGTGCTCCTGATGCTGTTGGTGTCGCACGTTCAAGATTCCACAGGGGTGGAGCTGCAGGTTCATTCCCTGCTCATCTTGGTGGTGTTCCTGCTGATGCTGGTGTTGACTGCCGAGCTGTGGGCTCCCAATGCGCTTTACCTCTCCATGACTGAGACCTTCCTGTTTCTGATGATGGGCTCCTGGCTGATGCAGGCAGGCTTTATTCTGTACAGACCCATCAGCGGCTATCCATGGCAGGATGATGACATCAGTGACATCATGTTTGTCACCACCTTCTTCTGCTGGCATGTGATGGTCAATGCTCTGTGCCTGCTGGGAATCTACGGCATCTCTTCCTTTTGGCATCATTGTTACAGACCCAGGTCAAAGCTGATGGGATCCAAAGGAGCTCCATATTATACACACACTGAAGGACCCACCTACCAGTTGCTGCCAGAAGTGGAGCCGGCAGAGAGAGATGACCAGGCTCTTCTCCTCCCAGAGAGCTCACCCTGAAATAGGGCCCAGGATACCTGCACATTGCCCATCCCTTCTTCCTCCTTGTAGGTTCTCTCAGACATGAGCATTGTATCCTCTTTGGTCTCCAATGAAGGTAATGGAGAGAGCATTTGGTCTCAGTCTGCTGGCATATCTCCTGAACTTTGAATTGCTGGATAATGGGAAGGAGCTGAGAAAGGGATGCTGAATAGATTGGTGAGGGGGAGGGGAAGAGGACCAAGTGAATAGATAAATGTGCAAGAAAAGCCATGGGATTAAAATGCAATAGAGGGGAAGCCTTTGATGGGAAGAGAGGGGGGTCCAGCAGTCATTCCATCTACCAGCTACTTCTCTGAGTAGAAGCGATTGCCTTTTACCTGAGGGAATGATTTCTTACCATTCAACACTGCAATTGTTCACGTCTCCCCCCGATAAAGAAGAGTGGGAATTTTTGTTTGCTCACCAAAATGGCTCTATCACATCAACAGAACTTTTGCCTCCTCCCAAAGAAAGTTCTTTAAGGACCGGGTTAATTTCCAATTAGTAAATTGAGACTATTATTAATGCTTTAATACAGTAACATTTCAAATTTGTAAAGCTGAAATATTTATAGAATCCAAATGTTCAGTATTTTCCCAACTTCCTATTTTATCAGTCCTATTCCAGACAAAGCGTACCTAATTCACCATTACCACTTAGCACATGTAATGTACTAGATCCTATTCATGAGCACTGGCAAAATTTCACTCCCTTCTATTTCACAGAAAGCCGTCCCGCCATCACATTTTTATCATGTTATCTGGTACCCAGCGTAAGACCCACCTTCAACCTCCCACCATGGCGTACCTCCAAGGAGGCTTCTCCACTATGACTCCTTTGTTCTGGGCCTCTTAGACAGTCTCAAGACCCACCTTGTTCCCTGGCTTATAGAGCTGATACACTTTGCTTGCTCTGTTTCTGAAATCATTCCCCTTGGGGAAGCCTTTTCTTGTCATCTAAAGTGTAGACCAGCCCTGACTTGGTTTGGTTCAGTGGATAGAACGTTGGCCTGTGGATTCAAGGGTCCTGGGTTCCATTCATGTCAGGGGCATGTACCTTGGTTGCGGGCACACCCCCAGTAGGGGGTGTATAGGAGGCAGCTGCTTGATGTTTCTCTCTCATCAATGTTTCTAACTCTCTCTCCCTCTCCCTTTCTCTCTGTAAAAAATCAATAAAATATATTTTAAAATAAATAAAATAAAGTGTAGGCCAGATCAAGTTATATACTTTCCTATGAGCCAACTATGTAGCATAGGAGATGCTGAATAAAGGCTTGTTTGCTTTCAAAATCTCTGTCTTCACGTTTCTTCTAAAAGTGTTGTCAGACAGGTCGGAAGGTCGGTGAAACTCGGGAAGCCTAAAGCTTAAGTCATCTCCTTCGTCATCTGCCCACTCTCTTCCTCATTCTTGGGATAATAAAATCCACTCTTCTGTTCCTGAATTGTTTACTGTGCTAATTGTTTTTATAATTCTCACAAGCATTTCTACAAGGAACCTCCAAACAATGATAAGACCCAACAGGTGGACTTGCCCAAGTCTTACAGCTAGCAAGACAGGAATTCAAGTGCAGGTGTGTCTGACTCATTCCAGTGACTATGTCCTCAGGGTCACCTTGATTTTGCTAATGGCAATGGTGAAGGGAGTGATCCTCAAAATGAAATTGTTGAGAGAGAGAAAGAGAAAAAAGAGAAAAAAGAGCAAGCAGCAGTGCAAGCACTCTAGACTCCCCTAAAAGATGTCTCTCTTGTCACACTTTCTGTCCATCATACCCCCTGCCCCGATCCTTCCCCCCTGCGGGGGGGGGGGGTGGCGGGAGGAGGGAGAGAGAGAGAGAGAGGGAGAGGGAGAGAGAGAGAGAGAGAGAGAGAGAGAGAGAGAGAGAGAGAGAGAGAGAGAGAGAGAGAATGAATATGAGAATATCTGGCTAACTCTCAACTTCTAGCTGGGTCTTAAATTTTTAGACTCAGATCTATGTGGGGGCTGAGGATAAGACTTGTTTGTGACCAAGTTTCCTGATGCTTGCCATTCCCCCTTAATTGTTGATTCCTAGAATTTTCTTAATGACCTTTTTTAAAGGGGACCTTCTCTCTCTTCACTTCTGGTACACATTGATGGGAGAAGGCGAAACACCACACGTGCTGCTTGCTGCCCATTTCTAGTCATCTGGCTTAATTTTATAATCATAAACAAGCCTCTGGTAATCAACTGATACCCACAGGATAATACCTTTTCAATACCCAGTGTAATACATTTACCTATTATTCACTTATTATATTTGAGATGCAACAGAGAGGCCCTCCCCTTGAAAGCCAGTCAAGAAAGCAACTTCCCACTCTTCAACTTGCAGGGAGACATGTCATGCGCACGAAATTCCACCAGAGGGCACTACGTTCACACCACTCCAGTTAAGCCTCTCGCTCTCCAACTTGGTAAACAAGTCTCCCAAGATTTAAAAAGCAGGGGTGGCGGAGGGGAGAGGTAAAGGGGATCAGGAAAAATACAGAGCCACTCTAAATATTGCCCAAGCATCCAGAAAACATACCACAGGGCTATTTGTTTCCATGGAAATTTGGCATGTGCATGTTAAATACACAGGGATTCAAATCAACTAAAGGGATAGGGATGAGGAAGACCTTGGACCCAGCTGAGGATATCTTTGGGAAAAGTACCAACTAAAAAAAAGGGCACACTCTGATCCCAGTAATGTTTTGACCGCAATGCTAACTCACCTTTTTCATAAACTTCATCAATGCTCCCATCATTCTAGAGAACAGAGATAGATCCATCCATACATTGAGAATAAGGAGCTCATTTTATCGGTATATCCCAGACTTACAAAACAGTGAAACTCGGGGGGCAGTTATTGAATATGAAAGATGATCTCCAAAGATTCCTTTAAATGGAACCTTAAAACATTTTTGTTTCTGGTAATCTAGTTGTTCACAGAAAAATATACTGAATGCCCACTACATGGAAGGCACTTAAACTTAGATTAGTCCCTGCACTTGGGTAGAGATTTCAGTGTTTTAGAGGTGGTAATCCAGGAATGCACTGTCCACAGCCTGACACTACAGAAAGTGAAAGAGAGTAAGGCTCTCAAGGGAATTACATACTGGTAGCACACAGGCTAAAAAATTAGCAAAACAAAAAAGAATATCAAACAATCAGAAAGAATATAAAGAACAATTTCTCTGAGTTCAGTGTTAGGTACTGAATTAAGGTAAAGCCTGGTCTTTCCTCCCTTAATTGTGTCATGAAATTTGAAAGCTTGGCCACCTGCAACTTCTTCCCTAAATGTGGTTTAAGAGTAATGACATGAACTTCCAAGACTGTTCCTTGCCTTCTTTTTGAATTTTGTTTTAAGATTATACAATGGTCTATTCTTTTGAAAAGAACTGGTATTGATTTGTTTAAAAACAAAAAGAATTGACAATTTGGGGTTGGGTTTCCAGGGAGTTGCTGAAGCTGGGCTCTCAGCTGTGCGCTGTTAGTCTGATTAAAGAGTTTGGGTCGAATGCCTATTGAAATCATTCAGGTTTGGGGAAACGTCCATTTCTCAAACTACATGTTATGGCTGACAATTTGGGTCTGTTTGAACCCTAACCCAAATCGTGTCTCTAAAGAGTGTAAGGCCGCCATGCAGGCCCTGGGAAGGCACCTCAAACTACCAGATTAAGGGCTTCCCACCTGCAGGGTGAGAATAAGTCCTTCAAAAGAGATAAATTGAAAGGTGAACTCACAGTAAACACGCCCTAGGCAAGGCCCTTATTTCAGGCAACAGAGCAACATGGAAGAAATGCTTTTAGTCCCTGGCCATCCTTTGATATGGAACAAAATCTTTACCTAGCCCTAGCTGGTTTGGCTCAGTGGATAAACCCTCAACCCAAGGACTGAAGGGTCTCGGGTTCGATTCCAGACAAGGGTATATACCGCTGAGGCTCCAGGTGATTCCCAAGGTAACTAATCCATGAGTCTCTCTCACATCGATGTTTCTCTCTTTCCATCTTTCCTCCTCCCTTACACTCTCTAAAAGAAATCAATGGAAAAATATCCTCGGGTAAGGATTAGCAAAAATAATAAAAAATTGCTCTCTCATTCCACCCACCCCTTGGACATACAGACTCTACCTAAGAGACAAAAACCTGAATTTGAAGCACATGTAATAGGACACCACCCCCCTCCCCCCGCCCACGCCTGCCGGCTTTGATACTGAGCGTACCAAGGGGTAGGCGAGTTCATAGGCTCAAGCATTCTAATGTCCTTTTTACCGAGGGGGTGGGGAACGGGGGGGGGGGGCCATTTGGGGAAGAAGTGGAAGAAGAACAAAGGGCAGCAGACACAGCAAAGCCAAACTAGATGAAACAGGCTGTTCTACTTTTAACTTCTGCAAACTACAGTCTGGGTTTCTAGGGGTGAACCAGTTAGTAACAAGACTTTTTCTTCTCTCGGACCCTTTTGAGATCCCCAGATCAGCCCTTGGACTCCCATGAGCCCTATTTCGGGTGGTTTAAGCAAGTATGCGGTGGGCCGAGGAGGACAAGGCCCCTTGCTCCCTCCTGAAATACCCAGCAGTTATGGACTCTGTGGCCAGCCCTGACAAAGCATGTCCCTGGTCACATGAATGGCTCAAAGCACATCCATTTCCATTCTTGGAAAAGCAGCTCCAGCCACATGTTCTCTGGGTGCCGCTGTCCTATCTGTGTGGTCAGCAAACGCCACTTATTGAACACTCACCCTGGATACTACTGGGAGTTACAAGATGAATAAGCTACTCAGGATATTCAGATACCTAGCAAGCATTCATAGGACAAAATATGATATCATAAGCTAAAAAAATAAAACTGCACTTGCTACTATTCCACTTTCTATTATGTTTGCCATTCCCACTTCAAGTGCTGGATGGAGGTGGTGAGTAGAATAGAACATCTTGTTTATAAAAGGAACTTTTCACTTCCTCCACACCAACCTCCTCAACCAACTTCAACTCAAGACTTCACAAAGAGAAATGGAATGGAGACAGCTCACTGCTACCAGGTCTAAGCCCCACTCTCAGAAAACTAACAGTGGAGCGTAAGAGAGTTAGAAAAGCTGTACATAATGGGTTGTTATGGGGGAAGACATAATCCAATCTCTCCAGATTACATTTTACCCTATAATAATCATAAGCACTACATTGCAGATACTATGCTAATTTCCTTGCAAATGCCGTCACAAGTAATCCCTACAATATTTTGTAGGCAAGGAAACTGAGCCTTCATGTGATTAACTAGCTAAGCCAACACAAAGCTGGTAAGAGGTAAAGCCCAGACTTGAACCTCGGTGTGTCTGACCTGAAGCCCCGGCTTTCAACAACCACGTCATAAGATTCCAACAGGCAGCACCGAAACTTCACCTGGAATCCCTTATGCTTTACCCAGTCCAGAATGTCACCTGTCCGAAACATGCCAAGAGCCCTTTTGAGGTGGATGTGGCATCTGTCATTTTAAAGCACTACAGTGTTAAAACACACTCCTAAAGGGGAGGGATGTTGACCAAGAAGCCACGTCATGTGTTTGTGGTCACAGGCAACACTTATTTTCCATAGTTGTGGTACAAAAAATAACCAAAGGAACACACTTCTTCCCTTCCTCTTCTGAAGGCACTGAAAACATGCTTTCTCGGCCTTGAAAATCTCCATTTCAAACACTGGGGCTCCTGAAAGATACCTTCAGATGGATTTCAGAGAATAAAAATAGAGAATGATGAAGTAGTAAAACTGGCGCATATATACATATGCATATATATATATATACATTTGCATATATAATACACAAACACAATTATATCTGTTGACAAGCATGCATTTCGCGATTGTGTTTGTCTATGCATATTCTCAACCACCGCTGCAAGGCTGAGGAGAGGGAGGATACTGATTCTTTTTCCCGATAAAAAGAAATAAGGCACAAATTACCTGAGAAGCAAATCCAGGGCGGATTTGTTTATGGAACCCTAAATTTTCTACCTACCCTTGGGCTATGCAAAGACCTCCCTTTCCTTTCAGCCGCCCTTGGGGAAGTGTGCACACAGAGAATTTCAATCCTGGCGGGCAACTCTAAAGGTCCTCTCTTTGAGAAAACCTTGATTTGCAGACAAGAAAACTTGGGCCCAGAGAGACTGGCTTGCTTTGGGGGTAACAGAAGGGGAACCAGGCAGGTCCCTCGCTTTGTTTCTCCTGCCCTCAGGTTCCTCTCTATGGAGGGTACCATAGACACAGCACGTTGGCTATAAATGTGAGCTCGAAGACATCTGGTCATTCACCCAAACCCACCCAGGCCTACCCCGAGGGGTCCCCTCTCTGCACAGAGCTTCCCTGCAGGCCCAGGGCTTCCCGGCCCCTGCGCCCTGCGCCCCTCTCAATTTGACACAAGCACGGAGAATGGGTCTGGGGGTGGAGGGTGGGGGTGGAGGATTGGGGGGCGGGTCTCTAACAACAAAAGGCAAATTTATGTTGCACTGGGTCAGAATTTCCTACGGGGTCTGCTGTAGGACCTCCCTAAAGCCAGGAGTCTTTTGCAACTTAACCCAACCTGCCGGCTGCAGGGACGGAGGCTGCGGGCGGCTGGCGGCGCGCTTCCAGAGCCCGGGGGGCGCTGCAGGGACGCCCCGCGGCGGCGGCGAGCGGAAGCGCCGGGGCGGGCAGGGTCTTTCCCGCAGGAACTCACCTCGCGTGACGCAGCCCGCCCTCCTTCCCGCCCCACCCTTCCCCTCCCTCCCTTCCTCCCCAGGCCCGGCGCCCCCTCCCCTCCTCCACCCCTTCTCGGCGCTCCTCCTCCCCCCCAGGCCCCTTCCCTTCCTTTCTCCCCGGCCGCGCCGCCCGCTGCCCAATGGCCGCGGCGCATCCGCCGGCCCGCCCCGGCCGCCGGCCGCCGGGAGCCAATCAGGGCGGCGGGGACGGCCCGGGCCGCCTATAAAGGCTGCGGGCGGCCGCCGGCCCCGCAGAGCCGAGGATGGGAGAAGAGCCGAGTGTCTGAGCAGCACTCCCCGCGTCCTCTCTTCTCCTCTCTGCACCTCGCTCTCACGGCCTGCCCGCCCGGCCCCCTGCCCCCTGCCCCCGCCGCCTGCTCGCACCCCAGGTAAGCGGGGCCCGGGGACGTGGTGGCCCGCCCCGCGGCCTTGTGCTTGGCTGCCGTGGGGCCTGGGGTGGCTGGGTCCCGTCGCCGGGCTGGGAGGAGGGCGGGGACTTGTGATCTCCCTCGGGCAGCCGGCGGCCCGAAGCGCCGCCCCTGGAGGAGGTCGCCCGGGGGTGCGGGGTGCGGGGTGGCTGGATCGCCGGGTGGCCCCATGCAGGAGCGTGCCGCCCCCTTCCTCCGTGGGGCCTCCGCGGCGATGGCCGCGGTCTGGATGCTCTTCCCGTGGCCGCCGTGGAGGCGGGTGGCCTGGGTGTGCGGTCAGCTGCAGCTGCGGCCCCGGCCGGGGGACCTGGCCACTGTGACTGAACAATGGGGAGCCCGGGCCGCGGCGCAGCGGCGGGCCTGGCCGGTGGAGAGGCGGCCTCGGCGCGCTGTGACCCCGGGGTTGACGCTCCCGCGGTCCCCCCAGCCTTGGCCCTCCTTAGGGGTATGGCCCCCACGGCCAGACCCTGAGATCGGGCCTGGGGCCCGAGGGGCGACAGGGCACCCAACTTTCGGGACGTTTTTATAGTAGGAAAGGGCTGTGCTCAAAGTGGATTGTTCCAACTACCACGGGGGAGCCCCAGGGGGATCCTCTTCGAGCCGCCGATCCTCGGTGGCGAGGGCAGCGAAGCAAGATGAAGATGACCGGGAGTCCCTGTCCTCCGAGTTGCCCTCCAACTGCTTTGGCTTCGTGGCCTACTCAGTGAACCCAGGGGAGAAGTCCCGGGTGAAGGTGAAGACCACGAGCCACCAGCATGCGTCCTGGTGCGAGACCGACCGCATAGTGACCCCGTTGCCCTCCCACGCGGCCTCTCCGGGTCCGATCCCCTCGCCACGTGAGACTCCCTCGCCCGTGAAACTCCGGACCATGTTCCAGCAAGAGCCAGACACGGAGGACAGGCAGGAGCGCCACTCCAAAAAGAGAAAGTACAGAGACGGGAACTTCAACGATCAGCTTGACCTCCTGTGGCTGGGGTGAGTGAGGAGCCCGGGAAGGAGGACCTCCAGCCAGAGGCAGCTGCAGAAACAGCTCAAAAAGAAAAAAGAAAGAAAAAAAAAAAGACAAACAAACCCGGCAGGACCCTATTTTTCTCTTCAACTAAGCTGTTGGCGACCAACTTGTGTCTCGGAAAAAAGCAGAAGATCCAAGATCTCCCCCTCACCCCCACCCCCAACCCAGGCTTATGGGAAGAAGTGTGCTTTGATGTCTGGGAGGAAAGCTGGAGCCTGGGTTGTAGCTTTTATTGGGAGCAGAAAGGATCAGGGGATTGATTGTTGCTTCTGGGCTTAAAAGAGGCAGGGGTGGGGGGTGAGGGTGGGATTGGACCCACCAAGTCTCCTGGATGGGGTCGGCAAAGTTCCTCTTCCCCAGGGGAAGGGCGAAGACATTGGAAGAAGCTGATGTTTTCAGCTGGGTAAACATGGACCGTTGCCCATAGAAACTTTGTCATTGTACTCCAGAGTTGCCCAAGTCATAGGAGGAGAACAATATGTTCCCTTTTGAGCCACCCTGCAGCCACCGACGGGGGGAAAAGGGGGAAGGAGTGGTAGAACCGATTCCTCTTAGGTTTTGTGGCTTCGGAGTGCCTTCTTTTCCGAGATTTTGTGAGGTTGGCTTGCAGTTTCTAGCGTGCGTCAGCTTTTGAAACTCCACATCTTCATTTAGAAGTGGGAATCCCCTCATTCCCTGAAAAGCTCTGTAGTGGGAGCTCAGCATGTCATTCTCAAACTTACCTTCTGAAGTGAGCGTTTTGGCTTTGACGGACGTGAATTATGGCAGCCAGCGTGCTGCATCTTAGGATCCAGCTTGGATCAGCTCTTTTTTAAATCTTGGTAGCTATCCTGACGGCAGCTCTTCTAGCAAGCCACCTAGCCAACCCCCTTGTTTTGTCCTACTGACTATCTAAATGTGAGGTTCCCCTCCCCAACAGGGTTTGGAGGAATCTTCAAAATGGGTTTTTTTATTGATCGAGATGCCCCCTGGAATGCCAGGCAAAGGGGGAAGACTCACCCAGAGACCATAGCAGCCAAGCCTTTCAGTGGCTGGGTTTTACTTGTATTAAAAGATCATGTCTGTCCTGTAAATTTGTGTATCTGAACGTTTGTGTCTTTTGTTTTGGGTTCCCTCCCTGCCTCTCCCAGTGTCTTAGTATAGAAGTAAATAAATAAAGTTTCCCTGCCATGGGCACACTGAGAGAGAAAAAAATAAATAAAGCTTAGCCCTCAATATCCTAGCTTGAGGAAGCTTTTAAGGAGATTGTTGTCTTAATATAAATCTCTAATCCCCTGAAAGCTGAGTAATAAATAGACCCTTGAGTGGTCACCCCTCCCGCTGTGACTTCTTGATTTCATTGTCCTCATAGAGGGATTCCTGTAGAGGATTATTTTGGAATTGGTGTTCTTCATTTATTTTATTTTTATTTTTTTCTCACCAGAACAACTTCCACCATGTCCACCTCGGCGAGTTCCCAGTTGAACAAAGGCATCAAGCAGATGTACATGTCCCTGCCTCAGGGGGATAAAGTCCTAGCTATGTATATCTGGATTGATGGAACTGGGGAAGGATTGCGATGCAAGACCCGGACCCTGGACAGTGAGCCCAAGAGTATAGACGGTGAGCAGAGTGGGGAGTCTGTGCTGGGTGGGCGGCCTGAGACCCAGCCACTCGATTGGGCCTCTTTATTGTTCCGTTTGGGAAGCTTTTCTAAGGCAGGGCTTTTCAGACTTCAGTCAACTCAACATTAAGCTCTTACACTGCCTCAAAGCACGGGAACAATGGACTCCTTTATTTAAATGAAATCTTGTGTGTTAAGTCAGTATATAGAAGACAAAATATAAAGCCTGGTTTGGGGGTATAAAGGGACTGGGTACTTTGCCAACTTGGGTAGCCTTTAGTTGGCCTAAGGCACCACCAGGAACCCAGTTTATTAACCATTGCTCTGATCTGACTGAAACACCTACTTTGCAAACTCTTTGAATACTGTGTTGAACTCATATCATTGGGGTTCTAGATGCAAATTCATCACCCTAAAGTGTTTTCTTAGAACGACTAGCCATTTATGTGTTTTTAATGGATGGCACTTTTGGAATTTTTTTTTAAATAATTTTTATTGATTTCAGAGAGAGAGAGAGAGAAACAATGATGAGAGAGAATCATTGATTGGCTGCCTCCTGCACATCCCACACTGGGGACCAAGCCTATAACCCAGGCATGTGTTCCAACCGGGAATCAAACCATGACCTCCTGGTTCATAGGCCAACACTCAACCACTGAGCCACACCAGCTCCACTTTTGGAAATTTTTAAATAATCTGATTACTCAATCAGCTGGAGAGAGGAAGACACCAGGCCTTTTAAGAATAGTGGGGAAAGTGGATAAGTGGTGATGTGGGACCATCCTAGAATAAGTCATTCTGCTGGTTGTCTTGTTTCCTTATCTATAAAATAAGGACAGACCATGGACACAGTCAGGGCGGGGGTGATGAATCAGAGAAAGAAGAAACACACAGATGGTCTCGTGGGGGAATTGATGATCCTTGTTTCCCCTATTTCAATATTTTAAATGATGACTGACTGCTGATGTCAGAATATTTTAATTTGTCTCCTTGGTGTGTCCAGTAGTTTTATGTAGGGAAGAAACATCGTTCTTAGGATTTTCTTGTGGCTGTTATCTCTTTAAGGAAGTGATGTAAGGGTCTTACTAGAACTCAGAACTCTAGAGCTACGTACACACGTCACAGCGCATATTAATAATAATGGCAGACATGAATCACTGACTTTCTAGAAACGAGAGTATAGATGGGTACGTGAAGGGCTGGGTGCTGCCTGGAAAGTTGTGCATTTTTAAACTTAATTTTCCTCTCTTTTCACCCCAGAGTTGCCCGAGTGGAATTTTGATGGCTCCAGTACTATGCAGTCGGAAGGCTCCAACAGTGACATGTATCTCATTCCTGTTGCCATGTTTCGGGACCCTTTCCGCAAGGACCCCAACAAGCTGATATTCTGTGAAGTCTTCAAGTACAACCACAAACCCGCAGGTGGGAATAGATAGATATGGATACCCCCACCCCAATTCATGAATGGAATAAAGAGGGAGGATATTGCCAAATTAGCAATGGGGAGACTAGACTGTCTTGGAATGTTTCGGGAGTCTAGGGGGTCGGACGAGCTTCTCTCCACCTTGAACTTCTTCATTCAAAGTGGTAAAGTGGGCCATCCTCCTGTGGTCTGTTGGTTGCATAAAATTGAATTCTCCTAAATCTGTTTGCTGGTGGAGTCCCCCCGGGACACAGTCCGGCCTGCCTGCCTGTAGACTTTTAAGAACATGGTTCGGAAGTTCGAACGTTGGGTTTGAATTTGGGATCTGCCACTTCTTAGCTATGACCTTGGGCAAAGTGTTTATTTCCTATCCTTCATTACCCTGATTCTAAAAGTGAGTAATAAAATCCATCTTCTAAAGTCGCTGGAAGGATTACGTGAGTTAATATGTGCAAATCATTGAGAACAGTTTGACATCAACGATTGGTTGCTGTCTCATTCCAGACCGCTTGTTTTCTGCCTTGTCTGTCCACTGAACGTGAGCCTCTTGGTTCATGGATGACCTATATTTGCCTTGAGGTTTGCTGTACCCGCACCTGTGGGTTTCCTCAGGCATGCCTGTTGTTCCCAGTTCTCAGCTGAAATCTCACTTCTGTAGAGTCTCTTGCTACACTTTGGCATTGGGTCTTCTTGGCACGTCCCTGAGTGACTCTAGACCATAATGCCTTTGTTCTGAGAGACTGTATCATTGTGGCAAAGGGCAGTGAGCTCTGATGCAAAGAAGTCATGGGTTTCCTGGCTCTGCTGCCTGCCTTGTAGTAACCTGGGCAGGCCACCTCACATCCCTGAATCGCCTTATCTTGCTGGTAAAGGTGGAGATGTATAATACCCTTCTCAGGGTGGTTAAGAAAACTCAATTGTGGATTGATAGAGACCTCTTAAAATGGGTCCTGGGGCATAGTGAAGCAGTCAGTACGCCTGTATTTACTTATTTTAAAGTTCCCATTTGGCTTAGAAATTGTTTCAAATTTGAGCTCATCTCATTGTGTAAGTTTTTCTTTTGCCCTATCCAGTTTTGTATAACTTAGCACTAAATCTTCTCACCTGAATGCAAGGCTCCCAATACACAAGTGATTCAATAAGAATTCTAGATTTGGCTCTAAATGCCCAAGAAACTTGGAATGGATCTGACTGTAGAAGCGGCTGTCTTGTGAAGAGACAGTTTTAAGTGCCTGGCTTCAGATCCTTAGGAGGTGGCCAGCATGCTGATAAGGTGAACACTTGTGCTTTCCTGGAGCCACTGTCATGTGACTTGATTAGAACAAATTTGGGGGGAACCTCCCTACAAGTGTTTATAATTACAGCATCTCCCATTTGCCTCTTTCATACCAAGGGGACCCCGAAAGGTAAACGGGACCAGGTTAGCTTTTACTCAACACTTTGGCTATGTAGATTCGGAAGAAATTTTTTCCCCCATCAGCACCAGAGATGTATATTTGCCCAGATGTCTCTAAAGGATTGTTGATTCTCTTTTCTCTCTAGAGACCAATTTAAGATATACCTGCAAACGGATAATGGACATGGTGAGCAATCAGCACCCCTGGTTTGGAATGGAGCAGGAATATACTCTCATGGGCACAGATGGACACCCCTTTGGTTGGCCTTCCAACGGCTTCCCTGGACCCCAAGGTAAGTCTCCTGGGTGAGAGGTCAACTTGCTCCTCCCCGGCTGCTTCATTGGCGGGGAAAGTCTATCCTCAGAGATGGCAGGGACTCCTTACGGATCAGAAAGCTCTGGGAGTGTCCCTGAGGCTGGCTGGAGTCATACTTTGCCCTCATATTACCCCAGACCCAAACATAGAGGTTTAACTGTGGATCCTGGGGGGAAACCTTTGGCTCCACGGAGGAGCCCCCTGCTCTGCTGCCCCACTGCCAGGTGAAGGCAGGGACAGTGATTCCGGAGAGCCAGTGTCTGAGTTTTCTGATTGCTGACCTTGGGCGATGCATCTTAGGTGGGAAGGGGCGTTCTGGATTTCCTCTCTCGACATTTCGCCTTGATGCCTCCCCAGGTCCATACTACTGCGGCGTGGGAGCAGACAAAGCCTACGGCAGGGATATTGTGGAGGCTCACTACCGGGCCTGCTTATACGCTGGCATCAAGATCGGAGGGACAAATGCCGAGGTCATGCCCGCCCAGGTAACTGGCTCTGGTCTGCAGCTTTCCCCATCACTAGGCAAGTAGGGGCTTTTTGGTAGTCAGGACTGCTGATGCTCCCCTCCTTAACCCGAAACCTAAAAGGTGGGTGGACTAGAGGTGAGAAGAGAGCGGGTTTCAGAGCTTCTGAGTGGGGTGCGCCGTTGGCTTTATATTCAATGCCAACCTTCTTGTTCTCTAGTGGGAATTCCAAATAGGACCCTGCGAAGGTATCGAAATGGGAGATCATCTCTGGGTGGCCCGTTTCATCTTGCACCGAGTGTGTGAAGACTTTGGAGTGATAGCAACCTTCGACCCCAAGCCCATTCCCGGGAACTGGAATGGCGCAGGCTGCCACACCAACTTCAGCACCAAGGCCATGCGAGAGGAGAACGGTCTGAAGTGAGTGCCTCCTCCCGCTGTGGCCATCTTATCTCTGTGCAAGGAGACTTGCCAGGGACGTCATGTATTTGGGGATGAGCAAGCCTGACTTCCTAGTTCGGACCTTAACTTTTGCCACGTGGCTTCAAACACTGTGGCTTCTAATTCTGTGGTTCTGTTCCTATTTGGAAAGTGTCAAAATTACTCCAGGAATAGAATTCAAGGGTGGCGATAGGTAAAGTGGACGTAGATAAAATGGCATTTGAAAACCTTTAGTAGGAACTAAGGAACAGTACAAGCATGTGAATGAATGTAATGCTTATGGGTGAGAGGAAGTCCGGGATCTTTTCATTCAACAAGTGTCATGTACTGGATAGCGACACTATTCTGAGCACACGTGGACAGGCGGGTATTTGCTCTGCTAGAGCGGTGGTGAGGTGAATTGGAAACTGGGAAAAGGCTTTGATAGCCAAGTCACTCCATTCTTAAATCCATACCTGCTCCTGCCCCTGAAGGACAGATTTCCTGGGGGACACAGGTGGACGGACCCTCATCTTTTCCGTTTCCTCTAGGTACATTGAGGAGTCCATCGAGAGGCTGAGCAAGCGGCACCAGTACCACATCCGAGCCTATGACCCCAAGGGGGGCCGGGACAATGCCCGGCGCCTCACCGGGTTCCACGAAACCTCCAACATCAATGACTTCTCCGCCGGCGTGGCCAACCGCAGCGCCAGCATCCGCATTCCCCGGGCTGTGGGCCAGGAGAAGAAGGGGTACTTTGAAGACCGGCGCCCCTCTGCCAACTGTGACCCCTTCGCGGTGACCGAAGCCCTCATCCGCACGTGTCTTCTCAACGAAACTGGCGACGAGCCCTTCCAGTACAAGAACTAAGCAGACTAGACTCGCAGCCATCTAGCTCCTTCTAACTACTTCTCCATCCCGCTCCCACTCTCGCCCCTCTGGTGTCATAACAAATGTAACTCAAAAGGGCAGAATAGCAAGGTCCTTTTGTATTCCTCGTGCCCAAGTTAATATCTCTTGCTTTCTCTGGCCGGGTTCGAGTGGTCAAGTTCTTAGTCTCTTACACACACACATCCTTTTTTTTCCCCTATCACTGAAGCTTTCTAGTGTGTTAGTGGGGCGGGGGGAGTGGGGAAACATAACCACTGCTTCACTTAATCAGGTGTTTGTCCAACGGGCGTAGCTATCTGGACAGTGAGTATAGTATTTGTGAAGGGAGGGGGAGGACCGTTTTTCTTCTTTGAGGTAGCTGAAGGGGGTAGGAGTGCTGGGCTTGCTCTGGGACTAGGTTAGATACTCCCTTTGGTTGGGAAGTTCCCGTAAAAGTGGATAAGCAGCTTCCTACTGAACGTGAGAATTAGGAAAGGTGGGGGGCAGCAGGCAGGAAGCCCTCTTACCTGCCAACTGTGACCCCTTCCTTCGCAGGGACCTGCTTCCCTGGCCTGGGGCTGAGGGCCCTCACTGGAAGGCAAGCCCAGCATAAAGGGGATGGGATGGGTTAGTAGCCCTACCTTCAAAGAACAAGTTCTCATTGCTTGGTCCTCCTGTTTTGCAACACAAATCAAGAGTAGTATTTTTATATTTAAATGCAAAAACAAAAAAATTATATATATATGGGTGTGCAGATACGTGTGCATTTTCTAAAGGGGAAAAACCATTCTGGTCACCGGGAGCCAGATTTGAGGCGAGAAGTCTTGTTAGATAGAAATAAGGCTCTCTTTTTGAGGCGGGTTGAGGGTGGCAGTGTTTGAGAAGTAGGCTCTTAGGGGCCATTAAACCCTCACTACCATGTGAGGGTTTCTCTGTGCCCTGCCTGCCCTTCGGGACACAGGTTGGCTAACGGGAGCAAATAACAGCAGACACCCGAGCCCCATGGCTTTGGTTTAGAAAAACACGTATGCACAGGGGTTGAGAAATGAGTTGGCTGGTCAACTTGAGCATGTATGTTACTGACAAAGGGGGTATTGGGTTATTTTCTGGGGGACTAGCATGTCACTAAAGCAGGCCTTTTGATATATTAAAAAAAAATTTTTTTTAAAGCAAAACCAGTTTAGATTTTAATCATATTTGTAGGGATTTGAAGTCTGACGGAATTGCTTGTTTGCTTCCACGGCCTCCTTCCTGTCCCCTCTTAGAGGGGACGGGGACGGGACTGGGGTTAAACACTTGTAATTTTGTATCCTGGTGTCTGTTCTGAGTGTGAAATATTCCTTTTCGTTCGTTAAGATTCTGAGTTATTTTTTTCTTTTATAATAAAAAAAAAACAACAAACCCCACCTTCATCCCTACTGTTCCTGGCTGTTTTTGTGTTGGCTGGGGCAGCAAGCTGGCTGTGTTTTTTTTTTTTTTTTTTTTTGGTTTTTTTTTTTTTTTTTGCCATGACGACTTCTCATTACCATGTACAGTATGTTCAGGGTTAGATAACTCCTTGTAAACAAACTGTGAACTGCCCAGAGCAGCTCTAAATCAACCTAACATTTATAACTTCTGACTTGCTTCTTTTTAAATCCCTTTGTGCCATTTCATTCCCTCCCCTACCAAAAAGGGGGAAGGGAAGGGGGGAACATATGTATTTAAGAGGCTAAATAAGTTCAAGTTTACCTGTTCTTGGAATTAAAAATCGAGTCCTATTGCTGAGCAACTCTTGTTCTTTGGGTATTTGGCATCTCTAGATTAAAGCATATCTCAGCCCTAGAGACTTACAATAGAGTACAACCCTCCTCCACCCTAAACCCCCAGTCTTAGAGCTGGGCTCTGACCTCCCAAGCTGTAACGTTGTTTTGAACCACTCCTCTGCCTTCATTTTATAGCAGCCTGAAGTATTTGTGTTATTAACTGGTCTCCATTTCATCCTCTGCCCAGCTGCCAGTGATTCATCTAAATGGCAAATATTGACCACGTTGCTACCCTGGTTAAAGCCTTCCGAGGCTGGGTGTGCTCGGGGCCAGCCAGCCCATATACGCCCTGGATGGGCCTTCTGTGCTCCTAGACCAGTGAGCCGCCTGTGTTTCCCCAAAAGCTCATGTTATACCTCTGTGCCCTTGCCCGTGGTCCCTTTACCTGGCTCATCCCTGCCTCAGTTTATGTCTATGTCAGGCTGGGTAGGAGCTTCCTCCTGTTCCACAGCAATGCACACATAATTTCTAGCAAAACCACTAATTCATCCAACACTGGAACCTAAGGTGTCCAGTATGTGGCCGGTAGTAATCACCACACTCGGTTCATGTTACTGTTTTTAAAGATAGTGTCCTCAGTTTGGAGTTAACTGGGGCCTATTACAGCGAACAAATGACAGTTTTCTTTGGGCAGGTGCCTATTTTGCTCTAGTCTTTGGTATTTTTTATTTTTATTTTTTTTAGATTTTTCTAGGATGGTTGGCTCCTTGCACAATTTGATTTTCAAAGTAGGATGGATGATCTTACTTGTGAGTTTGCACCTACTATGTTTCTTTTTTCTTTTTTTTTTTTTTAATATATTTTATTGATTTTGTACAGAGAAGAAGGGAGAGAGATAAAGAGTTAGAAACATCGATGAGAGAGAGTCATCGATCAGCTGCCTCTTGCACACCCCCTACCGGGGATGTACCCGCAACCAAGGTACATGCCCTTGACCAGAATCGAACCTGGGACCTTTCAGTCCCCAAGCCGAAGCTCTATCCATTGAGCCAAATCTGTTTCGGCTGCACCTACTATGTTTCAACATGATTATTAAGAGTGCCCCCTATCAGTGCTTTCGTGGTTTCACTGATAAATGATGTGGTGGTGGTTATTTCAACTGGAGTTCTTCATCTTCTCTTCGCTGGGTCAGCCTTGCCGCTGTGGAGGTATACTCTGCACAGTGCAAGCGCTAGATTGAGGCAATGACTTGAGCACTTTGATTTTTTCCTTGTTGAAACCAATTCCCTGACAAAGATAACGTGAAAAAGAGTAATAGGATCACAGTTTAGGTGGGAACAACGAGGGTATTTCCTTCTCTACTCTCCTGCCTGGAATTAGATTTGACCTGCAGGTCACAATGCAATTCTCTTGTATTTCAAAGGTGTTTTTTATAGCTCATTTAACAGACACTGGGTTACATGATAACTTTATCAGTGAGATTAAACAATGACAGCCAAGCCTTCAGCCTTAAAGAGACAGAGGCCAATATTCACAAAAGGAACTCTCGATGTTAAATATGGAGTGTTCCCTCCATTTCATCCTGCCAGTCAGAGAAGAGCTAAAGGGTGGCTTGCACAAGCTCACAGGAATGCCAGGAGCTGAAAGAAGATTCCAAGGAGTTCCGTGGAAGCTCCTAAGCAAACATTTGGTTTTGAGGCTTCAACAATCTCATCAAAGGCTGCTCTTAGATAATTTCTGCTACTGCTCGGCCCTTATACTAAAGTCTGCAAAGTAACTTGCTATTTCAAAGAAAGCTTATCACTCAATAGAACTTTCTGACAACTTCATGAAGGCAGGAATCCTGCTTTTCTTTCTCAGGACTGTATCCCCAGACCTGTCATATTGCCTGCAGTGCTTGCCTAGTAAATTAGTGTTCAGTATCAGATTTGTGAGCTCTATGCCTGCAACTAGCACTATCGGGTGGTATCAAACCCTCATGAGGTTTTAGAGATTTGGCTGTGTGTTAACCCCAGTCACGGCACTAAGCAAAGTTCTGTTTTACTGAGCTTTTCATGACGCTGCTGACTTGATTAATTCTGGTTGAAGGTGTGCTGCCAGGAGCCTCGTGTTGCTTTATGAATTATCACTAATATAAAGTGGCAATTCTTCATGTCATTCCAGAGGCCTCAGGTAAATTGCTACTGTAAACAGTTTGAGCTGATCATGGCCCTGTCATTTTATAGCTTTTAGTTCAATCACCAACACTCATTTTTTAACATGTCATATTTGAGCCCTGACCCATTTGGCTCAGTGGGTAGAGCATTGGCCTGCAGACTGAAGAGTCCCAGGTTTGATTCCGGTCAAGGGCATGTACCTTGGTTGCGGGCACATCCCCAGGAAGGGGTGTGCAGGAGGCAGTTGATCAATGATTCTCTCTCATTGATGTTTCTAACTCTCCATCCCTCTCCCTTCCTCTCTATTAAAAAAAAAAATCAATAAAATATATTAAAAATGTTATATTTAAGCCCAGCTGGCATGGCTCAGTGGTTGAGCAGCAATCTATGAACCAGGTCACAGTTCGATTCCTGGTCAGGGAACATGCCCAGGTTGCAGGCTCCAATCCCCAGTGTGAGGAGTGTAGGAGGTAGCTGATCAATGATTCTCTCTCACCATTTTTATCTCTCCCTTCCTCTCTGAAATCAATAACAATATATATATATATATATATATATATATATATATATATTTAAATATATTTTATTGATTTTTTTTTTACAGAGAGAAAGAGAGAGGGATAGAGAGTTAGAAACATCGATGAGAGAGAATCATCGATCAGCTGCCTCTTGCACACCCCCAACTGGGGATGTGCCTGCAACCAAGGTACATGCCCTTGACCAGAATCGAACCCGGGACCTTTCAGTTCGCAGGCTGACACTATCCACTGAGCCAAACCAATTTCGGCAACAATATATTTTTTAAGTCATGTTTGATTTTATAATATTCAGATAAATGCTCAAACACATATGTACTATACACACACACACACACACACACGCAATAGGTACATGACACAGGTATCCTACATGAGTGTTTTGCCAAGGATATAGTATTTTATAAAGGAGAAAGAAACTTAGGAACATCTCTTCCAGAAGCTGTACACAAAAACAAATTCATTGGGTTGAGAAGCTGTCACTAGGAACAAGAAGGTGGAGCATAAAAGTTATGATTACTGTTAAAACATGGGTCTACTGCCAACCCTTCCTAATTCTGCCCTTTCCAGAACTTTATAGACAGGAGGTTCTTGGGCACTGTCAACTATATATTTGTCTAGAATTCATTTCTCAGAGCCCCTCTGATATAAGGGGGTGGATGATATCCTAGTCCCATGTTACAGAGGAAGTGTCCATGCACTTCCTGTTATCATTTGACTAATTGCTTTTTTAAGTGGCTGGGACCTCTTTCCCATGGGTCTCAGATGGAGTTACTGGCATTGTCGTGAGATTATAACTTGCCTCAGCTTGCTCAACTCCTCCACCATATGGCCTAGTCAGCAGACCTACTGACTTCCATAAAAATTCAGAATAACTGCTCCCTTATGACCATTATACTGCTCTATAGACATTAAATTGGAAAGGCATTCAAGGTACTCCAAATTTAATAAATAAAATGGGGCCAGCTAAGCACCATTGTTGGTGTTTTCATGCAAGCATATGAATGAAGAGATTAAGTGAATGGAAATGCTTTTCTTCCTCTTCATGTCTCTACTCCTATTGCTGCTGGAAGGGTACACACGTGGGAATCCTCCGGTGTTTGTGGGGTTCTTGGGGCACTTTATTTCAGAAGCCCCCACGGGAGGATGAGAGGTGGTAGAAGATTTTATTGGTATGGTTATAATGTCCCATTTCCCCTGAGCCAGTGCTGAAAGAGGGTCATTGGGTGTTCAATAGAGTCAGCAACAAAGCCAGCATCCATGGTTTCTGTTCCCTGTTGCAGACAGGATTCAGGCCAGACTCAAGTCCATTAATCCATGTGTGAAATCCAACATGGTGGTGTGCCACGTGTGCACAGGGGAGCACCGCCCCTGCAGCAGGAGTCTCAAGAGGGCCTGGGGCCCTGCAGCCAAGAGAAAGAAGAAGGGCTGAACTTCGGGAAGTTTACATATTTAGATTTTTGAGC